AGTCACCTCCGTGAACACATACTGCTGTTATATAAAGTCACCTCCGTGAACACATACTGCTGTTATATAAAGTCACCTCCGTGAACACATACTGCTGTTATATAAAGTCACCTCCGTGAACACATACTGCTGTTATATAAAGTCACCTCCGTGAACACATACTGCTGTTATATAAAGTCACCTCCGTGAACACATACTGCTGTTATATAAAGTCACCTCCGTGAACACATACTGCTGTTATATAAAGTCACCTCCGTGAACACATACTGCTGTTATATAAAGTCACCTCCGTGAACACATACTGCTGTTATATAAAGTCACCTCCGTGAACACATACTGCTGTTATATAAAGTCACCTCCGTGAACACACACTGCTGTTATATAAAGTCACCTCCGTGAACACACACTGCTGTTATATAAAGTCACCTCCGTGAACACACACTGCTGTTATATAAAGTCACCTCCGTGAACACACACTGCTGTTATATAAAGTCACCTCCGTGAACACACACTGCTGTTATATAAAGTCACCTCCGTGAACACACACTGCTGTTATATAAAGTCACCTCCGTGAACACACACTGCTGTTATATAAAGTCACCTCCGTGAACACACACTGCTGTTATATAAAGTCACCTCCGTGAACACACACTGCTGTTATATAAAGTCACCTCCGTGAACACACACTGCTGTTATATAAAGTCACCTCCGTGAACACACACTGCTGTTATATAAAGTCACCTCCGTGAACACACACTGCTGTTATATAAAGTCACCTCCGTGAACACACACTGCTGTTATATAAAGTCACCTCCGTGAACACACACTGCTGTTATATAAAGTCACCTCCGTGAACACACACTGCTGTTATATAAAGTCACCTCCGTGAACACATACTGCTGTTATATAAAGTCACCTCCGTGAACACATACTGCTGTTATATAAAGTCACCTCCGTGAACACATACTGCTGTTATATAAAGTCACCTCCGTGAACACATACTGCTGTTATATAAAGTCACCTCCGTGAACACATACTGCTGTTATATAAAGTCACCTCCGTGAACACATACTGCTGTTATATAAAGTCACCTCCGTGAACACATACTGCTGTTATATAAAGTCACCTCCGTGAACACATACTGCTGTTATATAAAGTCACCTCCGTGAACACATACTGCTGTTATATAAAGTCACCTCCGTGAACACATACTGCTGTTATATAAAGTCACCTCCGTGAACACATACTGCTGTTATATAAAGTCACCTCCGTGAACACACACTGCTGTTATATAAAGTCACCTCCGTGAACACATACTGCTGTTATATAAAGTCACCTCCGTGAACACATACTGCTGTTATATAAAGTCACCTCCGTGAACACATACTGCTGTTATATAAAGTCACCTCCGTGAACACACACTGCTGTTATATAAAGTCACCTCCGTGAACACATACTGCTGTTATATAAAGTCACCTCCGTGAACACATACTGCTGTTATATAAAGTCACCTCCGTGAACACACACTGCTGTTATATAAAGTCACCTCCGTGAACACACACTGCTGTTATATAAAGTCACCTCCGTGAACACATACTGCTGTTATATAAAGTCACCTCCGTGAACACATACTGCTGTTATATAAAGTCACCTCCGTGAACACATACTGCTGTTATATAAAGTCACCTCCGTGAACACATACTGCTGTTATATAAAGTCACCTCCGTGAACACATACTGCTGTTATATAAAGTCACCTCCGTGAACACATACTGCTGTTATATAAAGTCACCTCCGTGAACACATACTGCTGTTATATAAAGTCACCTCCGTGAACACATACTGCTGTTATATAAAGTCACCTCCGTGAACACATACTGCTGTTATATAAAGTCACCTCCGTGAACACATACTGCTGTTATATAAAGTCACCTCCGTGAACACACACTGCTGTTATATAAAGTCACCTCCGTGAACACACACTGCTGTTATATAAAGTCACCTCCGTGAACACACACTGCTGTTATATAAAGTCACCTCCGTGAACACACACTGCTGTTATATAAAGTCACCTCCGTGAACACACACTGCTGTTATATAAAGTCACCTCCGTGAACACACACTGCTGTTATATAAAGTCACCTCCGTGAACACACACTGCTGTTATATAAAGTCACCTCCGTGAACACACACTGCTGTTATATAAAGTCACCTCCGTGAACACACACTGCTGTTATATAAAGTCACCTCCGTGAACACACACTGCTGTTATATAAAGTCACCTCCGTGAACACACACTGCTGTTATATAAAGTCACCTCCGTGAACACACACTGCTGTTATATAAAGTCACCTCCGTGAACACACACTGCTGTTATATAAAGTCACCTCCGTGAACACACACTGCTGTTATATAAAGTCACCTCCGTGAACACACACTGCTGTTATATAAAGTCACCTCCGTGAACACACACTGCTGTTATATAAAGTCACCTCCGTGAACACATACTGCTGTTATATAAAGTCACCTCCGTGAACACATACTGCTGTTATATAAAGTCACCTCCGTGAACACATACTGCTGTTATATAAAGTCACCTCCGTGAACACATACTGCTGTTATATAAAGTCACCTCCGTGAACACATACTGCTGTTATATAAAGTCACCTCCGTGAACACATACTGCTGTTATATAAAGTCACCTCCGTGAACACATACTGCTGTTATATAAAGTCACCTCCGTGAACACATACTGCTGTTATATAAAGTCACCTCCGTGAACACATACTGCTGTTATATAAAGTCACCTCCGTGAACACATACTGCTGTTATATAAAGTCACCTCCGTGAACACATACTGCTGTTATATAAAGTCACCTCCGTGAACACACACTGCTGTTATATAAAGTCACCTCCGTGAACACACACTGCTGTTATATAAAGTCACCTCCGTGAACACACACTGCTGTTATATAAAGTCACCTCCGTGAACACACACTGCTGTTATATAAAGTCACCTCCGTGAACACATACTGCTGTTATATAAAGTCACCTCCGTGAACACATACTGCTGTTATATAAAGTCACCTCCGTGAACACATACTGCTGTTATATAAAGTCACCTCCGTGAACACATACTGCTGTTATATAAAGTCACCTCCGTGAACACATACTGCTGTTATATAAAGTCACCTCCGTGAACACATACTGCTGTTATATAAAGTCACCTCCGTGAACACATACTGCTGTTATATAAAGTCACCTCCGTGAACACATACTGCTGTTATATAAAGTCACCTCCGTGAACACATACTGCTGTTATATAAAGTCACCTCCGTGAACACACACTGCTGTTATATAAAGTCACCTCCGTGAACACATACTGCTGTTATATAAAGTCACCTCCGTGAACACATACTGCTGTTATATAAAGTCACCTCGGTGAACACACACTGCTGTTATATAAAGTCACCTCAGTGAACACACACTGCTGTTATATAAAGTCACCTCCGTGAACACACACTGCTGTTATATAAAGTCACCTCCGTGAACACACACTGCTGTTATATAAAGTCACCTCCGTGAACACACACTGCTGTTATATAAAGTCACCTCCGTGAACACATACTACTGTTATATAAAGTCACCTCCGTGAACACATACTGCTGTTATATAAAGTCACCTCCGTGAACACACACTGCTGTTATATAAAGTCACCTCCGTGAACACACACTGCTGTTATATAAAGTCACCTCCGTGAACACACACTGCTGTTATATAAAGTCACCTCCGTGAACACACACTGCTGTTATATAAAGTCACCTCCGTGAACACACACTGCTGTTATATAAAGTCACCTCCGTGAACACATACTGCTGTTATATAAAGTCACCTCCGTGAACACACACTGCTGTTATATAAAGTCACCTCCGTGAACACACACTGCTGTTATATAAAGTCACCTCCGTGAACACACACTGCTGTTATATAAATCACCTCCGTGAACACATACTGCTGTTATATAAAGTCACCTCCGTGAACACATACTGCTGTTATATAAAGTCACCTCCATGAACACATACTGCTGTTATATAAAGTCACCTCCGTGAACACATACTGCTGTTATATAAAGTCACCGTGAACACATACTGCTGTTATATAAAGTCACCTCCGTGAACACATACTGCTGTTATATAAAGTCACCTCCGTGAACACATACTGCTGTTATATAAAGTCACCTCCGTGAACACATACTGCTGTTATATAAAGTCACCTCCGTGAACACATACTACTGTTATATAAAGTCACCTCCGTGAACACACACTGCTGTTATATAAAGTCACCTCCGTGAACACATACTACTGTTATATAAAGTCATCTCCGTGAACACATACTGCTGTTATATAAAGTCACCTCCGTGAACACATACTGCTGTTATATAAAGTCACCTCCGTGAACACATACTGCTGTTATATAAAGTCACAGTGAACACATACTGCTGTTATATAAAGTCACAGTGAACACATACTGCTGTTATATAAAGTCACCTCCGTGAACACATACTGCTGTTATATAAAGTCACAGTGAACACATACTGCTGTTATATAAAGTCACAGTGAACACATACTGCTGTTATATAAAGTCACCTCCGTGAACACATACTGCTGTTATATAAAGTCTCTGTGAACACATACTGCTGTTATATAAAGTCACCTCCGTGAACACATACTGCTGTTATATAAAGTCACCTCCGTGAACACATACTGCTGTTATATAAAGTCACCTCCGTGAACACATACTGCTGTTATATAAAGTCACCTCCGTGAACACATACTACTGTTATATAAAGCCCGTGGAAAGTCTCTGTTCAAAGACACGCTGCAAAGCTGTATATTGGAGAAGATCTGTACACAAGAAGCCGCTAGCATAGCTCTGTTAGCATCAGAGCCGGCTACTTCCGGTGTTCTGTCGAGTTGATCTGGCTCAGCTGTTAATGATGTAATGCAAACCTGTGCGTCTCACGGCAGGTAAAGCAATCCAAGATGGCGGACATGTAGTCCGCCTATTGCTTTAAAAGTTAAATACTAACGAATTAAGACACAAATGTCACTTTTAATGCAATTTGAGGCGAGATGTTGATGGTTCAACGTTGTGAAATGTGTGTTTTAAAAGTAAGAGTTTCGTGTAAAGTTTGTTTTACGCAGTCCACTGATCCTGTGAAACTACACAGCTGCTGTGTGAGAGCAGTCATATTGACTCCTGTGAAACTACACAGCTGCTGTGTGAGAGCAGTCATATTGACTCCTGTGAAACTACACAGCTGCTGTGTGAGAGCAGTCATATTGACTCCTGTGAAACTACACAGCTGCTGTGTGAGAGCAGTCATATTGACTCCTGTGAAACTACACAGCTGCTGTGTGAGAGCAGTCATATTGACTCCTGTGAAACTACACAGCTGCTGTGTGAGAGCAGTCATATTGACTCCTGTGAAACTACACAGCTGCTGTGTGAGAGCAGTCATATTGACTCCTGTGAAACTACACAGTCTGAAAACACCATTAGACCGTTTTAGAATGATTGACTGTGGAATAATGTCTAAACATGTATACAAGTGGTCTACAGCCTCAGTCCTGGGTCTACAGCCCTACAGTCCCTCTACAGCCCTACAGTCCCTCTACAGCCCTACATTCCCTCTACAGCCCTACAGTCTCTCTACAGCCCTACAGTCTCTCTACAGCCCTACAGTCCCTCTACAGCCCTACATTCCCTCTACAGCCCTACAGTCTCTCTACAGTCCTACAGTCTCTCTACAGCCCTACAGTCTCTCGACAGCCCTACAGTCTCTCTGCAGTCCTACAGTCTCTCTACAGCCCTACAGTCCCTCTACAGCCCTACATTCCCTCTACAGTCCTACAGTCTCTCTACAGCCCTACAGTCCCTCTACAGCCCTACATTCCCTCTACAGCCCTACAGTCTCTCTACAGTCCTACAGTCTCTCTACAGCCCTACAGTCTCTCGACAGCCCTACAGTCCCTCTACAGCCCTACAGTCCCTCTACAGCCCTACAGTCTCTCTACAGCCCTACAGTCTCTCTACAGCCCTACAGTCCCTCTACAGCCCTACATTCCCTCTACAGCCCTACAGTCTCTCTACAGTCCTACAGTCTCTCTACAGCCCTACAGTCCCTCTACAGCCCTACATTCCCTCTACAGCCCTACAGTCTCTCTACAGCCCTACAGTCTCTCTACAGCCCTACAGTCCCTCTACAGCCCTACATTCCCTCTACAGCCCTACAGTCTCTCGACAGCCCTACATTCCCTCTACAGCCCTACAGTCTCTCTACAGTCCTACAGTCTCTCTACAGTCCTACAGTCTCTCTACAGCCCTACAGTCTCTCTACAGCCCTACAGTCCCTCTACAGCCCTACATTCCCTCTACAGCCCTACAGTCCCTCTACAGCCCTACATTCCCTCTACAGCCCTACAGTCTCTCTACAGTCCTACAGTCTCTCTACAGCCCTACAGTCTCTCGACAGCCCTACAGTCCCTCTACAGCCCTACAGTCCCTCTACAGCCCTACAGTCTCTCTACAGCCCTACAGTCTCTCTACAGCCCTACAGTCCCTCTACAGCCCTACATTCCCTCTACAGCCCTACAGTCTCTCTACAGTCCTACAGTCTCTCTACAGCCCTACAGTCCCTCTACAGCCCTACATTCCCTCTACAGCCCTACAGTCTCTCTACAGCCCTACAGTCTCTCTACAGCCCTACAGTCCCTCTACAGCCCTACATTCCCTCTACAGCCCTACAGTCTCTCGACAGCCCTACAGTCTCTCTACAGTCCTACAGTCTCTCTACAGCCCTACAGTCTCTCTACAGTCCTACAGTCTCTCTACAGCCCTACAGTCCCTCTACAGCCCTACATTCCCTCTACAGCCCTACAGTCTCTCTACAGTCCTACAGTCTCTCTACAGCCCTACAGTCTCTCGACAGCCCTACAGTCTCTCTACAGTCCTACAGTCTCTCTACAGTCCTACAGTCTCTCGACAGCCCTACAGTCTCTCTGCAGTCCTACAGTCTCTCTACAGCCCTACAGTCTCTCTACAGTCCTACAGTCTCTCTGCAGTCCTACAGTCTCTCTGCAGTCCTACAGTCTCTCGACAGCCCTACAGTCTCTCTGCAGTCCTACAGTCTCTCTACAGCCCTACAGTCTCTCTACAGTCCTACAGTCTCTCTGCAGTCCTACAGTCTCTCTACAATCCTAGTCTCTCTACAGCCCTACAGTCTCTCTACAGTCCTACAGTCTCTCTACAGCCCTACAGTCCCTCTACAGCCCTACATTCCCTCTACAGCCCTACATTCCCTCTACAGCCCTACAGTCTCTCTACAGCCCTACAGTCTCTCGACAGCCCTACAGTCTCTCTGCAGTCCTACAGTCTCTCTACAGCCCTACAGTCTCTCTACAGCCCTACAGTCTCTCTACAGCCCTACAGTCCCTCTACAGCCCTACAGTCCCTCTACAGCCCTACAGTCTCTCTGCAGTCCTACAGTCCCTCTACAGCCCTACAGTCCCTCTACAGCCCTACAGTCTCTCTACAGTCCTACAGTCTCTCGACAGCCCTACAGTCTCTCTGCAGTCCTACAGTCTCTCTACAGCCCTACAGTCTCTCTGCAGTCCTACAGTCTCTCTACAGCCCTACAGTCTCTCTACAGTCCTACAGTCTCTCTGCAGTCCTACAGTCTCTCTACAATCCTAGTCTCTCTACAGCCCTACAGTCTCTCTATAGCCCTACAGTCTCTCTACAGTCCTACAGTCTCTCTACAGCCCTACAGTCTCTCTACAATCCTAGTCTCTCTACAGCCCTACAGTCTCTCTATAGCCCTACAGTCTCTCTACAGTCCTACAGTCTCTCTACAGCCCTACAGTCTCTCTACAGTCCTAGTCTCTCTACAGCCCTACAGTCTCTCTATAGCCCTACAGTCCCTCTACAGCCCTACAGTCCCTCTACAGCCCTACAGTCTCTCTACAGTCCTACAGTCTCTCTACAGCCCTACAGTCTCTCTACAGTCCTAGTCTCTCTACAGCCCTACAGTATCTCTACGACCCTGCAGTCTCTCTACAGTCCTACAGTCTCTCTACAGTCCTAGTCCCTCTACAGCCCTACAGTCTCTCTACAGCCCTGCAGTCTCTCTAAAGCCCTACAGTCTCTCTAAAGCCCTACAGTCTCTCTACAGCCCTACAGTCTCTCTAGTCCTACAGTCTCTCTACAGCCCTACAGTCTCTCTACAGCCCTACAGTCTCTCTACAGTCCTACAGTCTCTCTACAGTCCTACAGTCTCTCTATAGTCCTAGTCTCTCTACAGCCCTACAGTCTCTCTACAGCCCCACAGTCTCTCTACAGCCCTACAGTCTCTCTGCAGTCCTACAGTCTCTCTACAGCCCCACAGTCTCTCTACAGTCCTACAGTCTCTCTACAGTCCTACAGTCTCTCTACAGTCCTACAGTCTCTCTACAGCCCTACAGTCCCTCTACAGCCCTACATTCCCTCTACAGCCCTACAGTCTCTCTACAGCCCTACAGTCCCTCTACAGCCCTACATTCCCTCTACAGCCCTACAGTCCCTCTACAGCCCTACAGTCTCTCTACAGTCCTACAGTCTCTCGACAGCCCTACAGTCTCTCTGCAGTCCTACAGTCTCTCTACAGCCCTACAGTCTCTCTACAGCCCTACAGTCTCTCTACAGCCCTACAGTCTCTCGACAGCCCTACAGTCTCTCTGCAGTCCTACAGTCTCTCTACAGCCCTACAGTCTCTCTACAGCCCTACAGTCTCTCTACAGCCCTACAGTCCCTCTACAGCCCTACAGTCCCTCTACAGCCCTACAGTCTCTCTGCAGTCCTACAGTCCCTCTACAGCCCTACAGTCCCTCTACAGCCCTACAGTCTCTCTACAGTCCTACAGTCTCTCGACAGCCCTACAGTCTCTCTGCAGTCCTACAGTCTCTCTACAGCCCTACAGTCTCTCTACAGTCCTACAGTCTCTCTGCAGTCCTACAGTCTCTCTACAATCCTAGTCTCTCTACAGCCCTACAGTCTCTCTATAGCCCTACAGTCTCTCTACAGTCCTACAGTCTCTCTACAGCCCTACAGTCTCTCTACAGTCCTAGTCTCTCTACAGCCCTACAGTCTCTCTATAGCCCTACAGTCCCTCTACAGCCCTACAGTCCCTCTACAGCCCTACAGTCTCTCTACAGTCCTAGTCTCTCTACAGCCCTACAGTATCTCTACGACCCTGCAGTCTCTCTACAGTCCTACAGTCTCTCTACAGTCCTAGTCCCTCTACAGCCCTACAGTCTCTCTACAGCCCTGCAGTCTCTCTAAAGCCCTACAGTCTCTCTAAAGCCCTACAGTCTCTCTACAGCCCTACAGTCTCTCTAGTCCTACAGTCTCTCTACAGCCCTACAGTCTCTCTACAGCCCTACAGTCTCTCTACAGTCCTACAGTCTCTCTACAGTCCTACAGTCTCTCTATAGCCCTACAGTCCCCCTACAGTCTCTCAACAGTCCTACAGTCTCTCTACAGTCCTAGTCTCTCTACAGTCCTACAGTCTCTCTACAGCCCCACAGTCTCTCTACAGTCCTACAGTCTCTCTACAGCCCCACAGTCTCTCTGCAGTCCTACAGTCTCTCTACAGTCCTACAATCTCTCTACAGCCCTACAGTCTCTCTACAGCCCTGCAGTCTCTCTACAGTCCTACAGTCTCTCTGCAGTCCTACAGTCTCTCTACAGTCCTACAATCTCTCTACAGCCCTGCAGTCTCTCTACAGTCCTACAGTCCCTCTACAGTCCTACAGTCCCTCTACAGTCCTACAGTCTCTCTGCAGTCCTACAGTCTCTCTACAGTCCTACAATCTCTCTACAGCCCTACAATCTCTCTACAGTCCTACAGTCTCTCTACAATCTCTCTACAGTCCTACAGTCTCTCTACAGTCTCTCTGCAGTCCTACAGTCTCTCTACAGCCCCACAGTCTCTCTACAGTCCTACAGTCCCTCTACAGCCCTACAGTCTCTCTACAGCCCTACAGTCTCTCTACAGCCTTACAGTCTCTCTACAACCCTGCAGTCTCTCTACAGCCCTACAGTCTCTCTACAGTCCTACAGTCTCTCTACAGTCCTACAGTCTCTCTACAGCCCTACAGTCTCTCTACAGTCCTACAGTCCCTCTACAGTCCTACAGTCTCTCTACAGTCTCTCTACAGCCCTACAGTCTCTCTACAGTCCTGCAGTCTCTCTACAGCCCTACAGTCTCTCTAGAGAGACCAGGAAGAGACCAGAGAGAGAGACCAGAAAGAAACCAGAGAGAGAGAAACCAGAGAGACCAGGAAGAGACCAGAGAGAGAGAAACCAGAGAGACCAGGAAGAGACCGGAGAGAGAGAGACCAGAAAGAGACCAGAGAGAGAGAAACCAGAGAGACCAGGAAGAGACCAGAGAGAGAGAAACCAGAGAGACCAGGAAGAGACCAGAGAGAGAGAAACCAGAGAGACCAGGAAGAGACCAGAGAGAGAGAGACCAGAAAGAGACCAGAAAGAGAAAAACCAGAGAGACCAGGAAGAGACCAGTAAGAGACCAGTGAGAGAAACCAGAGAGAGACCGTAGAGAGACCAGAGAGGGAGAAACCAGAGAGACTGGGAAGAGACCAGAGAGAGAGAAACCAGAGAGACCAGGAAGAGACCAGAGCGAGAGAGACCAGAAAGAGACCAGAAAGAGAAAAACCAGAGAGACCAGGAAGAGACCAGTAAGAGACCAGTGAGAGAAACCAGAGAGAGACCGTAGAGAGACCAGAGAGGGGGAAACCAGAGAGACTGGGAAGAGACCAGAGAGAGACCGTAGAGAGACCAGAGAGGGAGAAACCAGAGAGAGACTGGGAAGAGACCAGAGAGAGAGACACAGACTCTGTGTCTCTCTCCTGACTCTTCCCTGACACCAGAACACAGGACTAACACAGAGGATGAACGAGCCCCGAGGGTGGAATGACTTTTATTGTGTTTGTTTTTGTCACTTTGATCCAGGGACCAGCAGCAGATCGGCCTCAGACCTTTTAAATCCACTTTTGATCACAGGAACCTTTTAAATCCAGTTCTGATCATAACAGAACAAGGTCCAATCGTTATGGTTCAGATTCATCGTCAGAGACTTTATTTCAGACTTTCTCATTATTCTCTACTTTTAGCCTCGTGACATCACTGTCCCTCACAGACCTGGAGTAGTGTTTAGATCCATCCAGGATGATTGCATAAAGCTCCGCCCCGTCTGCCTAAGTATCAGTCCTTTACAGTGTGATGTCACTGGACCACTATGACATCACACTCAGTTCTTTGCAAAAATAGGGTACAGTCCCTGTGGGCCTATACTCAGAGCGTTATCGTACCCAAAACTAAGATAACAATGAAATTTACACTGAACAGTTTCATTCTGAGGATTTGTTCTGTTCAACCCCTGGTCTCTCCAAGATGTCTGTCCCTGGTCTCATCAAGATGTCTGCCCCTGGGTCTCTCCAAGATGTCTGCCCCTGGTCTCTCCAAGATGTCTGCCCCTGGGTCTCTCCAAGATGTCTTCCCCTTATCTCTCCAAGATGTCTGCCCCTGGTCTCTCCAAGATGTCTTCCCCTGGTCTCTCCAAGATGTCTGCCCTTGTCTCTCCAAGATGTCTTCCCCTGTTCTCTCCAAGATGTCTGCCCCTGGTCTCTCCAAGATGTCTTCCCCTGGTCTCTCCAAGATGTCTTCCCCTGGTCTCTCCAAGATGTCTTCCCCTGGTCTCTCCAAGATGTCTTCCCCTGGTCTCTCCAAGATGTCTTCCCCTGGTCTCTCCAAGATGTCTTCCCCTGGTCTCTCCAAGATGTCTTCCCCTGGTCTCTCCAAGATGTCTTCCCCTGGTCTCTCCAAGATGTCTTCCCCTGGTCTCTCCAAGATGTCTTCCCCTGTTCTCTCCAAGATGTCTGCCCCTGGTCTCTCCAAGATGTCTGCCCTTGTCTCTCCAAGATGTCTTCCCCCGGTCTCTCCAAGATGTCTTCCCCTGTTCTCTCCAAGATGTCTGCCCCTGGTCTCTCCAAGATGTCTGCCCTTGTCTCTCCAAGATGTCTTCCCCTGGTCTCTCCAAGATGTCTTCCCCTGGTCTCTCCAAGATGTCTGCCCTTGTCTCTCCAAGATGTCTTCCCCTGGTCTCTCCAAGATGTCTGCCCTTGTCTCTCCAAGATGTCTTCCCCTGATCTCTCCAAGATGTCTTCCCCTGGTCTCTCCAAGATGTCTTCCCCTGGTCTCTCCAAGATGTCTTCCCCTGTTCTCTCCAAGATGTCTGCCCCTGGTCTCTCCAAGATGTCTGCCCTTGTCTCTCCAAGATGTCTTCCCCTGGTCTCTCCAAGATGTCTTCCCCTGGTCTCTCCAAGATGTCTGCCCTTGTCTCTCCAAGATGTCTTCCCCTGGTCTCTCCAAGATGTCTTCCCCTTGTCTCTCCAAGATGTCTTCCCCTGGTCTCTCCAAGATGTCTTCCCTTGGTCTCTCCAAGATGTCTTCCCCTGGTCTCTCCAAGATGTCTTCCCCTGGTCTCTCCAAGATGTCTTCCCCTGTTCTCTCCAAGATGTCTGCCCCTGGTCTCTCCAAGATGTCTTCCCCTGTTCTCTCCAAGATGTCTGCCCCTGGTCTCTCCAAGATGTCTGCCCTTGTCTCTCCAAGATGTCTGCCCCTGGTCTCTCCAAGATGTCTTCCCCTGGTCTCTCCAAGATGTCTTCCCCTGGTCTCTCCAAGATGTCTTCCCCTGGTCTCTCCAAGATGTCTGCCCTTGTCTCTCCAAGATGTCTTCCCCTGGTCTCTCCAAGATGTCTGCCCTTGTCTCTCCAAGATGTCTTCCCCTGGTCTCTCCAAGATGTCTTCCCCTGGTCTCTCCAAGATGTCTTCCCCTGTTCTCTCCAAGATGTCTGCCCCTGGTCTCTCCAAGATGTCTTCCCCTGTTCTCTGCAAGATGTCTGCCCCTGGTCTCTCCAAGATGTCTTCCCCTGGTCTCTCCAAGATGTCTTCCCCTTGTCTCTCCAAGATGTCTTCCCCTGGTCTCTCCAAGATGTCTGCCCCTGGTCTCTCCAAGATGTCTTCCCCTGGTCTCTCCAAGATGTCTTCCCCTGGTCTCTCCAAGATGTCTTCCCCTGGTCTCTCCAAGATGTCTTCCCCTGGTCTCTCCAAGATGTCTTCCCCTGGTCTCTCCAAGATGTCTTCCCCTGGTCTCTCCAAGATGTCTTCCCCTGGTCTCTCCAAGATGTCTTCCCCTGGTCTCTCCAAGATATCTTCCCCCTTGTCTCTCCAAGATGTCTTCCCCTGGTCTCTCCAAGATGTCTTCCCTTGGTCTCTCCAAGATGTCTTCCCCTGGTCTCTCCAAGATGTCTTCCCCTGGTCTCTCCAAGATGTCTGCCCTTGTCTCTCCAAGATGTCGTCCCCTGGTCTCTCCAAGATGTCTGCCCTTGTCTCTCCAAGATGTCTTCCCCTGGTCTCTCCAAGATGTCTGCCCTTGTCTCTCCAAGATGTCTTCCCCTGTTCTCTCCAAGATGTCTGCCCTTGTCTCTCCAAGATGTCTTCCCCTGGTCTCTCCAAGATGTCTTCCCCTGTTCTCTCCAAGATGTCTTCCCCTGTTCTCTCCAAGATGTCTGCCCTTGTCTCTCCAAGATGTCTTCCCCTGGTCTCTCCAAGATGTCTTCCCCTGTTCTCTCCAAGATGTCTGCCCCTGGTCTCTCCAAGATGTCTTCCCCTGGTCTCTCCAAGATGTCTTCCCCTGGTCTCTCCAAGATGTCTGCCCTTGTCTCTCCAAGATGTCTTCCCCTGGTCTCTCCAAGATGTCTTCCCCTGGTCTCTCCAAGATGTCTGCCCCTGGTCTCTCCAAGATGTCTTCCCCTGGTCTCTCCAAGATGTCTTCCCCTGGTCTCTCCAAGATGTCTGCCCTTGTCTCTCCAAGATGTCTTCCCCTGGTCTCTCCAAGATGTCTTCCCCTGGTCTCTCCAAGATGTCTGCCCTTGTCTCTCCAAGATGTCTTCCCTTGGTCACTCCAAGATGTCTTCCCCTGGTCTCTCCAAGATGTCTTCCCCTGGTCTCTCCAAGATGTCTTCCCCTGTTCTCTCCAAGATGTCTTCCCCTGTTCTCTCCAAGATGTCTGCCCTTGTCTCTCCAAGATGTCTTCCCCTGGTCTCTCCAAGATGTCTTCCCCTGTTCTCTCCAAGATGTCTGCCCCTGGTCTCTCCAAGATGTCTTCCCCTGGTCTCTCCAAGATGTCTTCCCCTGGTCTCTCCAAGATGTCTG